TTTTTATAACCTATTGCGTTTTATACTGTAGCCTACTTTGCCACATAATCGAAACAAGCAACTTCATTATATATCACTATCTCTTAAGATACAGGCTCACCTAGTTTGGTTTAAGAGATAAAGTCAATTGCTAGCTACCCTGTTTCACGATTTAACAATGTCATACTTTCTTACAGTTCGATGTTTGTATTTTGTACTATTGAAATTTATAAAAACAAAGAAATTATTAGTATTAAATAAAAAAAAGCAAGCCCGTCACAAATGTAGGTCACAATCGTCATAATCACAACGAGCAAACTTTTTTCACACTCATTACCGAATGCAGTGTCAAGGCCTCCATTTGTCACGCCCGGCTACATCCGGCTGCGTAGACGTCGCCTAAGCTCAATGACAATACAATAAACTGAGATTTCTTAAAAATGCCTTCAGTAATGACGTTATTATAATGTTATTGCAGTGTATTTAGTTTAGTTCATTTAGGTTTTTCCGATATATTCTATATCGCCAAATACAAGTTAGTCATGGTAAGGTTTTTCGCATTGTTACCCTGTAACATAAGTTGACAAGTCCCATGTGCCTGTACCTTTACCCTTGCTCACATTACCGCTTGGCGGCAGAAATAGGTAAGGTGGCCGTACTTCCCTGGACGAACTCTTTCACAAGGAGCTCTACTGCTACTAAAAAAATTGTATGTATAGAGGAATATAGCATATTGCTGTATTACTTTAGATATTCCACTAAAAAGGATAAAACGCAGCAAATAACAGATAAAAAGTAACCTAGATCGCAGAGCAAGAAATAAATAGTCCAGTTGAATAACTTTACATTCATTTTACCTTTGCAAAACTTATCTGCGTGGAAGTATGTCACAGGGCTCTAAAATCTTTGCGTTTCTGCTGACTAAATACGTACCAGAACACCTTTGGCTTTTAATTTAAATATCACTTATTTCAACGCATAATTTAGTTGAATAAATTAAATCATTGTGACATTTGCTAGTATAGTAAATACCAACGTATTATTATTATACCCGCGCGTATAGGGTTTCTGAATTCTTGACATATTTTTTTCTCGAGTTTCGAGAGTTCTCGAATCGAGAAATCTCTAACAGAAACCCCTGCATACGGAATAAGTTCTAGTCCTTTATTTTAAAACCCATAAAACCCTTATCTGAAAAATAATCCTTAACTGAACTATTTTTATTAATGTAATTATTGATTTGTTTTTATTTTGTGGAATAACTCCATTAGTTTGCTATAATGAATTAAATACAAAGATCAAACATAAAGAAAAATTCCTTCGACGAGACAGTATTCGATTTGAAAGTTCTTAAGAAATAACTTTGTAATTTCAAAATACTTTTAAATCAGCGTTGAAGAACATAAAAAATGTTATAATATAACAATACAACGTAAAAGCCACGCATTGATCCACGTTACTCAGATAATGACTTTTGTGTTCTTGAGTGTTTCCTGGCTAAGAGAAACCTGTGAACTAATCATCTATGTACAATTACGAGAATTTTAATCGTATATCATTAAAACTCTAGTGAAAAACAAATGATTTAGTAATACCATTAAAAAGATGATTCGTATTGAATATTAATTAGTAATTGTATTCACGGAAGCAAAACAAATTAAGTATATCTAAAGTTACATATTAAGTTAATATTAAATATTAAGTATATATAAATAACTATAAACTAATTACCTACGTGAGATCTACCGTTCGTTTATATGAAGTTCCGTTTTTAGTATTCGTGTCTTTAACGCTATTTCATTTTAAAAATAGTTGAATAAACGGAATGATTAGATATAATTTAACAGTTACAATTTTGAAATAAAGCTCATAATTAACTGATTAAAATCGGCACTAAAAGGGCCATTAAAGTGTAAGGAATAATTTTGTGTGTCCCATTAAAGTTGCACAACTAGCATTGTAAGGTCACACACATTATCACATACTTGTTTAGACATTATACAGAAAATAATTTAAAATATAAAATTCTATATCACAACCAAAATTACTCTCGAAATGTGGCACCAATTACGGCAGACTCGGCGCTTTTTTACAAATTGTTTTGTTATAATATTAATTTTACATACTTTTTCAGTTTCAAATGTATAATGTATAGTATATAAAAGGGACGTATAATGGATTATTTTATAATTTATTTAATTTCATTATTTATATAATTACTTATAATATTTCAAAATATTGATTGATCGTAAAAAAATTATTAATTTATATGTACTATATCGATATTTTTTATTGTCATATAAAAGGTATAAAATCAGTCTAACTCAATGTTTTCTTGTCATAGGTCGTTATAGTTTGGTTTTATAAAACAATGTTGGGTAATAATGGCAACAGACAACACGTTAGTTCAAGTCATAAAACGCCCACTAGCTGTGCAAACTTGAGGTGGGGTAGGTCATCTTAACCAAAGGAATACAGTAAACGTGATGGAGCAGCGATGTTGCTTAAAATAAGGTACAAAGTTGAGCGGCAGTAGAATAGTTTAACAAAACAAGTAGTAACTCCACACAAACGTAGCAGCGCGGCTTACATAAATGTGTGGCACGCCCACCGCGCGCCGCCGCCGTGCACGCACACAGTCGCATAAACTGGCTGTGCACTCGAGTTGCACAGCAAGGTCGCGCACGCCATTTATTATAGAATTGAAGTATGAAAGGTGAAGTCCATCCTATCGTGTAACAAATTAGCACATTGTTTAGACAATATCCTTAGGTGTAACGTATATTTTTTGTAAGACAGTTATTTAATAATAAATACCGAAACCATTTGGTACAAGCGAAACCAAACCTCCGCCGGTGATTCACCTTAAGCAAAAAAAATTTAAAGGAGATGCAATGCCGCAAGCGGCGTCGAGCTGCGCCCGCGCGCGCCTTTAAATTCAATATAGTATGGAACACACGCTCTACTAAATAAACTATATATTTCCCCTCTCTCCAGACTGCGGCAATTTGAAGCGACCTTAAGATTAAACGCATCGTAAACAACGTACTCAGAGATGCACTTCTCACGGTCATAAGTGTATAAAATGTACCTACACATACTATGTGTAGGTACATTTTATATCTATATTTTACTAATAAGAACTATATCAGACCTAGTGTATTATTAAACGTGTCTTAACAGTCCTAAACTAATACAATGTATTTACTCGTACATTGTTGCACTTTTTCCCTATATAAAATACAAATTTTCACACGTATTGCAACTTCAACGAGTCCTCTTGTGCAATGGCCAGTGTTGACACCGGTAGTATGAGAGATTAACCAGAGAACACGTATTTGAAGTTTATTTCCCAACGTGCCTTAGATTTACATGCTTTTTAGATGCCATGTTGTTTAAAATTACGCTGGAGCCAATGCTCGCATTAGATAAGATATACTGGGACATGCTCTTTCATTAAGGAGGTACAGTAAGTAATGAAAATCGTTACTTGCATTCCGAAGCTAAAAGACTTTCCTTAGCACTAGGTATTACAAGTATGAACACTGAGGCGGACAGATAATTATCACATTTTATCTGTATATCAATTTAATGAGGTTGGAGAAGTATTTTATCGCCATTTTTTATATTGACGAGGATGTGAATGATTTAGGTACCTTTGGAAGTTTCGAATTCACTATGAACTTAATAATAATTACCTTTTTTTCACACACTCATAGCCCCGCACTTGAAACCCTGTATCGCGGGTGCCATGGACCCACTCATAGACAAATATAAATTACACCCAAGCTCACGAGAGAAATAAATGTAGGCCATACAAAAATTTCTCTCGGCCCGGGAATCAGACCCGAGACCTCTGCGTGACAGTCCAACATGTCAAACTTTCGGCCACGGAGGCAGTTAGAAAAACTTACCTCAAAAGTTTGTGGAATTACATCTATTTCACAAGTTTTATTGAAATCGGATAATGGAAAGTGGGCGAAACCCAATAAACCGGATTCATCCTCTAATTTGCCACAGTTACTTCTAACTGGTTTTAACTAACTTTTTTGTTGGAAAATTTTCCAACATAAAAATCGTCAATATCTGTTTACAAAGTAAACGCATAACATACACAAAAATGTACAGTCGAATGGAGAACCTCCTTATCCTAAAGTTAGTTAAAACTACTTAGGTCGTTCAGGAAACAACAGAGTTAACTGTTTCTTAACCACACACAGTGAACACAATCAAAATGCTTCGAGTGAATCAGTAGAACATCTACATCATAAGAGCGCAATAATTCACTCTGTCTGGTTGTCCTATTATGAGAGATATGCAACCAAATATGCTATAGAATGTAATAAGATATAATCTAGAGTTCTTTCTTCTAGATTACATGAAGGGACTGACTAGAAAAACACTTTTCAATAAAACAAGAAAAAATGCTACTTCTTTTGTCACAATGCTTTAACAGAGAGGGTAGGAAACTGACTCACAAAATCTTTTTCCGAGAATTGTCACTGAAGATGAAAATTTAAACAACTTAATGCCATGTAAATATAGCATAAAAATATTTAAAACAAAAAAACAGAAAAAGCAATTTCACCGTATTGTCATAATATCACCGTATTATCGTAATATTATAATATTAATTGCAAAGGTTTCATGCAAATGATTTTGTATCGGATCTTTTCATATACATCGCCAATTAAAGCAATTACGATAATAATGCATACATGCTAGATTAGTTACTGTTAAGCAAATCGATAACCTAACAGGATTCACGCTAGCGTGAAAATCGAGTTAAAAAAACTTTAAATTCTATATACAGCTATCTATAATCATCAATACAATTTCTTAACATATACAACCTTAGTACTTAGGGTGTTGGCAAACGTATTCAATTGATCAATGGATTTTTGCTCTAATAATTCCCACAATTATAACCTAGTATAAAAGGTAAAGAGACGGAGTATAATGTGCGCACTACTGTCTCTGGTTCCAATAAAGACAGGATTTAGCGTTATTTGCTAAAAAATATAAGTGTTTTTTGACAAAATGTTGTCTAAAGTAAGTACGTTTTTATAGTGCTCGAGGAAGAGATAATTCAATTTTTCAAATAACTTTAACATCATTAAATACAACAAGTAGAAAATAATTTTGTTTTTGCTGTCCTTGGCCTGTTAAATAATATCTTGAAAGAAATGAAGAGATTTTGAATTGAACTAAAGCAAAAGTAAATTTTATGTTGCTTCTATCAACAGGTATTGGCATTATTCGGGCTTATATCCGCCGCTCAGGCGATTTTCCCGTTCCATCATCACCACCATCATCACCATCCTGCGATATCACACCAGGAGATACACAAGCACGACGGGCCCCACCACCCTATCCCGATCCACCACCCTATCCCAATCCACCATCCCATACCAATCCATCACCCCATCCCTTTCCATCATCACCACCACATTCCTCATCATATTCCCATTCCCCACCACGTACCAATACATCATGATCACTATGTGAGTACATTAAATAATATTTCAATATTTTTTCTTAAAAAGTTTATTTGTGGTAAATGCTGACAGATTTTATTTGGACCTAACCAAGGTGCTTAGGTAAAGAACACCTAATAACTTCTACCATCAGACATTAGCGGGTTTTACCCAGACACTGTATCATGCTTGATATAGCAATCGTGCGCTATTGCTATATCAAGCATGGGAAAAGGGAAAGACCGCTCAATTGCGCTCATGAGTCGCGCGCGCAATCGCGCACTCCAACTCGCACCAGTTTCTCGCGCTATCCTGCGCTATAGCCATTCCACGAATGCTTATATGACAACATGAGCAATCACGCGCTAGAACGTTAGGTTTTAAAAATTCAAACAGGTAATCTTGCACGATTTCGCGTGCAGGCTTTCCCGCGAGCAATCCTGTACGCTCCTGATCACGCGCTATAGAGTGACTGTATAAAGGGGGCTACTGTGACCAAAAACATCCAAAAATCAATGTTAGCCCCATCGAAACCAAAACTATTCTTTTTTATTTCTTTAAGAAATTAGTAAATAAAATTTATAGTAGTAAGAGCTATTAATTATACTAAAAACCAATCTCCTGTATGCTACAATTTTGCGCGAATTTAACACTAGGATCAATATTTCTACTTTAGTAAAAGCGGTACCATTTTCCAAATTCATATACAAAAACTTATAAATTGAAACAAACCCGTGACATACTATTTTAAACGGACTGCTAACTAATTTTAGCTAACAGCAAATCAGCTGGCAGTTATAGTAGTACTCAAATTAATAAATTACGTTCGAGTTAATTGTGGACGACTTCCTGTACGTATCGACTGGTCGTTTTCATAATCACCTATATCGAAACTGCAGTTAACTCGAATACTGTGTCGCCATAGGCTTTTTATTGCACAGCCTTAACGAAGACCAATAAATTAAGGCGTTACAAATATTTTTTTTTTACATTAGGTACTGTTTTCAGTTCAACAGTAAATATCATAGTTCAGTAAACGAATTATATTTCATATAACAAAAACAACTACAGTACATAACAATGTTAAATCAAAGCTTTCAATAAGTTTCCAATTTGAATAAATAAAGTTTTTAATGTTTATTTAGATTTTTAACATTTACTTTGTTATCGATTCTAAGTGGAATAATTATGTATTAAATAAAATAATACACAGGACTTACATACTTAAACTTTAAATACGAGAACTAAGGTTAGTATAAATAAACGACGGAAATGTTTTCCCTTTGTATCGGTCCGTGCAGTCACTATTTTCTTATTTTTTAAATTAATTTTGTGGAAAGGACGGGTTTGGACCTCTCAGACTATGAATTTCAACTCCGAAGAGTAGGAATAAATAGTCGAAACCGATATCTTGGTACTTTTGATTTTATAATATTTAAGGGGCACCTTGCTGGTATTTTGGACTACCATGTATTTGACCATTTATAGAAATGATTACTTTCATATCTGACGTAATTTTTAAATGCAATAATCCGTGATCTCTCGCTTAAAGAGTGATTAACCTTGATTCAGTGGCATTTTGAAGGGAAAATGGCGGAGTTGTAGAAGACTTGAATTAAATTAATATACATTAATTTATGAATGTGTGTGTGTGGCACTAGATCTAAGCACAGTTCAATAACGCACATTTGTTAAACCATGGAGCGTAGTATAACAAATAACATGAAAGCTGTTGTTTCTGTCACAAAAGTCACGACAAAAAATATTCAAAAAAATATAGATATTGAAACATACTAAAACATAATTAATTATTAATACAAAGATCGAACACTCAGAAAAAGCACTCAAAAAAAATTCCTTCGATCCGGTCGGATTCGAACCGACGTCTTCTTGCATACCGTGCCAGACGCTATACGTTCGTTCGTTCGTCGGTTCGTTCCGTGGCTTAGTTGGTATAGCGTCTGGCACGGTATGCAAGAAGACGTCGGTTCGAATCCGACCGGATCGAAGGAATTTTTTCTGAGTGTTTTTTCTGAGTGTTCGATCTTTGTATTAATAATTATAACAAACTAGTGGAGTAATTTCACAAAAAATAATTGAATATCAATTCAATAAAAATTTAATTAATACTAAAACATTCTAAATTATAAAACTAGTTATTTTCGAGCTGCGTACAGATATCATGCAACAATTATGGGAAAATATTATTTCACATACATAACATACCACACGTAACTCTAGGCATTGTAACAAGTTTTTACATGTTCTTAAATCAATATTATGTACAACTTGACAATTTCCTTTTAGACTCCAAAGTGGGAGCGTCATTGTTGACTTTAGTAGAATAGTTACTCAACATATTCTACGGCAGCAAAAGGTTAATACCGTTTCTGGTAGCAGTAGAGCTCTTTGTGAAAGAACTCCTCCAGGAAAGTACTGCCACCTTACCTATTACTGCCACCAAGCCGTAATGTGAGCATTACTGTATACCTGTTTTAGGGTAAGAATGGTGGTGAAATTGCAGGGACTTGTCAACTTATGTCTCAGGGTGACGGCCACGGTAGCAGTGCCTCTCAGATCTTTGCGATTTAAAGTTCTGAGTAGCACTGCAACTGTTATGGACAGGCGTGTCGCTTACCACCAGGCGCAAGACTTGTTCGTTCCGACACTTAGTATCGTAAAAAAATAACCTCCACCTCTCAGCTTTTACCTGTAACTACATTTTAATAATATTTTGACGAAAACTTGTTTCTGTGAACAGGCATTCCCAGAGTACAAATTCGAGTACGCAGTGCATGACCATCATACGGGTGATGTGAAGTCGCAGCATGAACACCGGCATGGAGACGTAGTGAAGGGCGGATACGAGCTCATCGAGCCTGACGGCAGGTTCAGGAAAGTTGAGTACAAAGCGGATGACCACACAGGGTAAGCAAATGAACATCAAGGGATAAATTTACTTACTCTGTTACACCACCAGTCGGATCAAATGTATTTTTCGTTGCATTTGGTCTTTGTATTAATAATTGTAATAAAGTACTGGAATCATTTCACAAAAAAATTATTGAATATCATGGTAATAATATATAGTGATATTTTAATGTGACCATGATATTCAATTGTTTTTTTATGGATGTATAATTACATCTATATCTGTAATCTGTGGATTTTGAAGCGACATTTCAATATTTCTCATTGGTGCTAGTAGTGTTAAAAATATCTTGTGTAAATTTTTTCAACTTGTATTTCTGAGACCTGGTGGCCCAACGCACAGGCATTTTTTTTTGCTTTGTTTAGGCATCAGTCTCCCACAAAATTATCCTTACCAAAATCTAACGTGTAAACCATGTGTGTGGTCTGTGGTGTAAACTGTTCCTAGCTATAATATGTATTTTATAGAAGAGAAAATAAACGTATATATTATATTAAATGGTAATGTACTTTGAGCGTGAATTCACCTCTAGGCTATTAGAACGCTAAACGTTAAACTTACTCAATTTTCATCACCCAGATTCAACGCTATCGTGCATCATTCCTCGCCTCTTCATCATGTTCATTTGGCCCATCATCATCACATCTGATCCAACGCAGCCGTCGCCCGTCACACGATCAAGCCTTGATAAGACTGACCCTCAGCCAGTAAAACAGCAACGTTCAATTTTTGTAATATATTATTATAAGTCTGTATCTATCAGCATATTAAATGGATTAGCGCTAATCTTATTTTATTTTAATCTTAAAAAAGTAATAAATGAATACAAAGATAAAAGTTATCCATTTCACTAAATCCATATACATATGTACATAGAATATCGTTTTAACATTATGCCTTCCTTTTTGTAAACGCGCTACTTTCTTAGGAGTAGAGATAATTTTTATTTTTTCATAGTTGTTGTTACACACTATTACGTGCAGATGTGTATGCGTACACTTAAAAATATTTTTTTTTATGGAAAATGATTATAGGCATTTACGTACCAATGGAAAGAAAGTTCCTATTATATATATAAAGCTACAAGTTTAGACTCACTTAGAAAAATAGAACGCATTCTTCCCGATATGGTAGAAAAAAGATATTTATGCCGTTGTACGCGGATAGGCTCCTAGGCAAAGAATCAAATATGAAAAGACCTTTTTTTTTTTAAAAAAAAAAATATGAAAAGACCTGAATGTGGAAAATGTAAACGATTAATCAGCGGCCTGCAAAAACTATAATACATGGAGGGGGATATTTGTGTATTTTTATGAAATACACCCTGGTCAAATAACGCAGGAAGTAAAAAATTTTCGAAATTCAAATAAACAAGATGGCCGCCATACAAATTTCAAAGCCTCCTATCACGGAAACTATTAGAGATAGGTAGGAGGTGCTTGAAGGAATGTCATAGGGGGTAATACTGGTCAACTGCTTGGGTTAAAAAAATTCAAGATGGCGATTTCAAAATGACGGCCGAAGAAAAACTTGCTTCGATCCGGCTGAAAATTGGCATGTGAAGGCCACTAGAAAAGCCACCGGACAATAATTTGTGATCAAAATTTGTTTTTCGCCATTTTCAAATATGGCCGTCATAGGAGCGTTCGTTCGGAGCAGATGAAAATTTGCTCTAATTCGATTGAGAATCGGCATGTGGGGGAGTTTATATGTGTTTAATAATAATTTGCGGTCAAAATTAATTTTTCGCCATTTTTCAATATGTCTGCCATACAAACTTTTTGGCAGCACATGGAAATTTGCTCTATTTCAGCTAAAAATCGGCATGTGGGGACCTCTATGGGTGTTTAATAATAATTTGTAGTCAAAATTTACTTTTTGCCATTTATGAATATGGTCGCCATTAAATAGCTATGTTAATTTTTTTGAAAGTCATAAGTGCCGAGGCCATAGGCCGAGGTGTAGCGGAGGACGAAGCCCGAAGCGTTCACACACCTCGCGTAGGTAGTATACGGGGACTAGATTTCACAATTGTTTAAAATATAAAGCATACTTCCCGATGAAGCGGAAATAATATCTTTATACAACTTACAGCGTTGTTGTATTCCGACCGTCTCTCTGTTAGATTCTTTTTTATTGGAAGCTATGCCAAAAAGAGAAGTACGTAGGGATAAAAGTGCCAGACAATCACTTCAAATTTCTGGTCCCAAACTAGGGAATTTCCTGTACAATGAATACCAGAGTAACAATAATTCTGAAGGCAATACCCAAAATACCCTGACCAGGACCAACATAATTTTTTTTTTTTTTTTTTCATAAATTGGCTCAAATAAGAATATGGAACCTCCTCATCAAGCGCCCATAGTACTAATCACTGTGCTACCGAAGAGCATAAGCTCACCCCGTAATCTGAAAGCGAGCACGCGCCGCAGGCCGAGCCCGACCCCACCGTAGGTGGGATATAGGGCTCGTTATATAGTAAAAGCGATGCAAGCAAATAGATATAAGACTTATATTCTCTTGAGTCTATGATTATGTTGGATCGCCCTGGCCTTCAATCAGGAATAACACAGCAGCACTGTTTTGCTGTAGAAATACATTACAAGAATACAAGGTATTTATTCGCCGTAAAATGTAGTTAACAATGCAGGTCTTATGATACATTATATTAGACGCACCTTTCACCAAAACTTGGCATGCGAATCTTTTAGCACAATGCTTATTTCACTTTAGACGTAGCATGCACTAAATTTAAATTAAAACAATAGCATAATTAATCTGCAACAATTGGAATTTAACTAGAAAATGAAAAGTCAAAAATATAACATACAATAATTAAATTTTACATTTTATGTTATCAAGTAAAAAATCATTAATATTGTAATAGCACTGAGTAACTAACAATTCTGCAATTTCATTTTAAATTGTCTACAATTTAATTCTTTAACGGCATCCGGCAATTTATTGAATAATTTGGGTGCTAATACGAACATCGTTCTACTGTAAAATTCCAAATTAGGACGTTGTTTGGACCGTATTTCCATTTTACTCCTTGTGTTTCTTTGGTTATATTAAAGTTGCTTAGATTTTGTTTCATGTAAACACAGGCCTCGTAAATATACATCGATGGCAGGGTTAATATCTTCAGTTTCCTAAAGTAAGGTACACAACACTCTCGCTGACCCACACCAAACATGGCCCTGACGCATTTCTTCTGGGTTTTAAATAGTGGCATAATATGTGTTGCAGCAGCATTTCCTCAGAGTAGTAATCCATATCGCAAACAAGAGGCTACATAAGCATGATGAGCACAAAGAACAGTTTTTTGTGATATTATATTTGTCAGATTTTTTAGAACATATACGTATTTACTAAGTTTAGTATTTAAGTTATCGATATGTGTCTTCCAGTTCAAGAGTAATGCCCAAACATTTTGTTTCAGGAAGTTGCTAAAGTTGACTTGAGCAACTTTCTGTGCATCGTGATTTATAGTTAAATTTATTGGTCGTGTTTGTGGTATGGCATTGCATAAAATTAGTCTTATCTAAATTTACTATGCGATTATTTAATTATAGACACACGACAACAGAAAAGTCTAATCGTTTCCATGTAGTACATCAAAATATTCAAGGCTTTTCTGGCAAAATATTAGAAATAAGTCTTTTTTTGCACGATATTTCCGTTGACGTGTTTTGTGTTACAGAACACTGGCTGAAAGATTACGAAGCCGTTAACAATATAGAAAATTATGTAATAGTCAGTTCGTTCATAAGAAAGAGCTTAAGTAGAGGCGGATCCATGATTATTATTAAGCGTAACTTAAAATTTAAAGAGCGTAAGGATATCACAAATCTTTCTACTAAACGAACTATTGAGATTTCATGTGTGGAATTGGATCAGTTTGTCGTCTTATGTGTATACAGGCCCCCCTCTGCTAATTTTAACGAGTTTGCATTAATTATGGAAGACAGTTTAAAGCGGATTTTTCCAACCAAAAAAAACGTAGTAATATGTGGAGATTTCAATGTAAACCTGTTGGAAAACTGTTCTACTTCTGTAAGACTCATTAATTTATTTCAAAGTTTTAACTTGATTAATCTTTTTTTAGAACCAACTCGCATTACTGCCTCCTCTTCTACTTGTATTGATAACATCTTTTGTAACACAGACGCAGTGTCTAAATCAATAATAAATTGCTTAAGATCCGACCATAGTGGCCAATTGGCTTCTTTTAATTGTAAAATGAGCAAGAAGGTAGACCAATTTCTCTGCAGACCGATTACCACAGAACGAATAATTAGATTTCAAAATAATATCGGCAACAGTTTAAATTCCCTATCCCATATACCGGAGGATCCAAATACTTTATATAACACGATATTTGGTTTAATTAAAAATGAATTTGACAATATATTTAAATCGAAAACATTAACTTTCCATAGAGAGACTAAATTCAATGACTGGGCAACAGTAGGTATTCATAAGAGTAGGTCTCGTTTGTATGAGCTATATGCTATGAAAACTTATAATGCTAATTCCAATTTCATAGAATATGTTAGAATTTATTCGAAAATATTTAAAAAAGTTTGTGTAGCTGCTAAGGTTAAGTTTCACAGCGACAAAATTAGACAATCGATAAATAAATCTAAAACTACTTGGAGCATAATAAATAAAGAGTCAGGCAGGGTTAAACTACACGATAGAGATATAGTTTTAGAATTAGACAGCAAACTTATAAAATCTAAAGATAAAGTAGCCCAAGCTTTTGAATCGTTCTTTTCGGAAATTGCTGTGAACACTACAAAATCATTAAATTCCTCCCCTTCACTTGCTATTGATCTCCTAAAGGAAAATGTTAACGTTTGTGGCAGTTTATTTAATTTTCATCATGTTAATCCACAAGACATCATAAAAGCTTTTAAGTCAATACATGTTAAAAAAACTGAAGATCTCTGGGGCATATCAACTAAAGTTATAGACTCAGTTATTAATCTCATTTCCCCACAGTTAGCTGTAGCTTTCAATAGGTGCGTTGACGAAGGTGTTTTTCCCGATTTAATGAAATACAGCAAGGTTATTCCCTTATTCAAAAGCGGTAGGAAAGTTGATCCTAGCAACTATAAGCCCATTTCAATTTTACCAGCTTTAAGTAAAATATTCGAAAAGGTTATGCTAACTCAATTACTGTCCTATTTCGGTAGGAATCATATTTTTCATAGTGAACAATACGGGTTTACTAGTGGTAGATCGACTAGCGATGCGGGGGTAGCGTTACTAAAACACATCTTTGATGCTTGGGAAAGGTCCCAGAACGCTATTGGTGTTTTCTGTGACCTCTCAAAGGCATTTGATTGCGTTGATCATAATACTCTTATTAGTAAGCTGGAACATTACGGTGTAAATGGCAAGGCGTCGAAACTTGTCTCATCATATCTCAACGGTAGAATTCAGAAAGTAGGCATAAATGGAGCGACTTCTTTAGGTTCTCCAGTAAAAATGGGTGTTCCGCAGGGCTCAATACTTGGACCTTTCTTATTTCTGATTTATATTAATGATCTGCCATTCTTTGTTAAGGACCATTGCGAAATAGTGTTGTTTGCTGATGACACATCCTTGATTTTTAAAACAGACAGACATGACATTAACTATGACCGTATTAATGATACCCTCTCTAAAGTAGTTTATTGGTTTAATGCTAACAATTTATTGCTTAATGCCAAGAAGACAAAATGTGTTAAATTTGAATTACCTAACGTAAAATCGACTAGTCCAAGCATAGAAATAAACGGAGAAAAGTTAGACCTTGTTAATAAAGCAGTCTTCTTGGGAGTGACCTTAGATAGTAAACTTCAGTGGTTTCCACATATATCGTCCCTGGCCAGCAGATTAAGCTCCGCTGCATACGCAGTCCGCAGAATACGTGAGCTTACCGATGTTAGTACTGCTAGACTAGTTTACTTTAGTTACTTCCATAGTATAATGTCCTACGGGATTCTCATGTGGGGTAAAGCGGCAGATATTCAAACCATATTTGTATTGCAAAAACGAGCGATTCGTTCTGTGTACCGTCTAGGCTCTCGGGTATCTCTCAGAGAAAAGTTTAAGGAGACTGGTATCATGACTGTGGCATCACAGTACATTTACTCAAATATTTTATATGCCCGTAAAAATATACATAATTTCAATAAGAAAGAAGATATCCATAATATTAACCTTAGAGCTAAGTCCAAACTCATGGTACCACGATTTCGTTTAACCAAGGTAAACAACTCTTTTATGGGGAACTGTATACGTTTTTACAATAAGATTTCGGAGCATATATTAAGTTTATCATTTCCTAAGTTTAAAAACTACATTAAAAATATTTTGATCGAAAAATCATATTACAAAATTGAAGACTACGTGTTAGATAAAGATGTATGGAAAGACGACATGGCTCCAGAATCCACACAAATTTGATTCAAAATGTATTCCATAGCATTTAAGTTTATTTGAAAAGAGCAATCCCTAGAGTTTCTTGCTCGTTCTTCTCAGGGAGGTCAGCGTAGTGAACGAGCAGTACCTTAAATGTGACGTTTTCAAGTGTAAATTTATTTTACCTATGGAATAAATCATCTTTGACTTTGACTTTGACTTTGATAGCCATTCTGTAGTGTCACTTATTGAACGGCGACAATGTCTATGTGAGTACTGACAATAACAGACATTTTGTCATATATCTACGTCTTAGTAAGTTTCTTGGCATAAAATCAATCAAACCAATCGATATTAGGAAATGTAAATAGATAAGTGTCTATTAAGTGCAGAAAAGTAAAATGTTATCAATAATGACACCATAAAAAAAATAAGGCTTAAGGAAATACGTGGAAATACGTGGAACTCCGCATACTGTTGACACTCATGACACGCCCACTAACCAATTCTACTGTATTTATTGTTCTGTGTTATAAAGACAAACTAAAATCATACTAGCAAATAAAACTAAATTCCAGTTAACAACTTGTTCGTATAAAAGACATCAACTAGAGTTTAATCGCAAACTGTTTTCCTGAGTAATAAAAAAATGTAGGTTGTGTGTCACCGACACAGTACAGTTATATATGTACTAGTATATTTATCACGTTTTGGACATATTATCATTATTTACGTACATTTGTTAGGATTATTTATTTTTTGTTTCTTTATCTTCAAACATATTATTTTGACCAGTGAATCATAAGATTAAATCGCTTAACTTCACTCTGTTTATGCACTTTTTAATGTTAATTACTGTGATTAAAGTTTTTATTTCGCTTTTAACATATTTCATAATAGTAATAATCAATATCAAATTTCAAAGTTCTTTCGTCGTAAAAAGTTATATACTTTTATTAAGTATCCCATATAATATGGTAGAACTACAAAAAATCTACTACCCAATATTATAACAGGATTCACACTCAAGACTCACACACAGTCACACTGTACAGGTTTTCTCAATACTTGAATATTTGAAAAATGTCAAAGTGGTTTCATGTGGTCAAGGATTGACTAACAGTAATTAAGAACGAAGTTATCTGTCTACCCTTTTTGGATGTCAGAAGAATAAAACGCCATGCCGTGACAAGAAACCTTAAATGGAGGTATTAAACCTCACGTACAGGTGAGGAGGCCCCTGATATTATGATAATCACCGCCGAACTCGTAAAACTGCCTTTCAACAATCACTAGGCGCTATTACCATTTTTAGGGTTCTATTAACATATGTAGTTTTCTAACAATATCTGTGCCACTGCTGAGCAAATGTTTGTCCCTTCCGCGGTTAAAAAGCTCGTAGACACAATTCATTGAAAGGTTTTGTTATTCATTTCCACTAGTTTTATTAAAGCAAAATGCAAATCCCTGATCCTATATTCAGTCGCAAAGTCAATCTCAATTTAAATGTCCATATTACGCTTTAAAAAGCAACAATATTTGTTGTATACTGCTTCGCGGCAAAAATTCCTTACGTATTTCTGCCGCCAAGCAGTTATGTGAGTCTACCGTGTTCAGACTTTGAAAGGTTACGTTGCTGGTGAAATTGCACTTGGGACTAGTTATGTCTCAGGGTGATGGACGCAGTGGCATTATGTGACACTGCAACTGTTATGGACAGATATGTCGTTTGCTACCGGGCGCACAACTTCTTCATTCCGTTACTTGATATCACAATAAAAAACAAGTTAAAAAATACACTATTGATTTATTGATTTGGAACAAAACAACGAACGGATATTATTATTATATTTAATTTGTTAAAATGCAATATTGTATCCTATTCATATTTCAGGCCTTCAAAATAAATCTAGGTAAACTCCATTACTGAGAATTGAATTATTAGAAAACCATTTGGGATTTAATTATAATCAATAATTCTGAGGATATGAATAGTTAGTGTACACGAGAATCCTCAGAACGTATAAAAACCCTTTTAAAATTATTGCGTGAACCATTGCTATTCTTCGCCTGACAACATTATGATTTGGAGGGTGAGTCTGTATAACCCACTTTATCTATCCTATTAAGATTCCATGTAAATTCTATGTTCGTTCAGAGCGTCAACGAAATTAGTTGCAACTAATTACTTTTTTGGTTTTCACGATTGTTACACACAGGAAATGAAACTATTTCTTCGGATCTAAATTGCGTGTATTTGTTTTTTTCAAACAAACCAACGAACGTTTCGAGCCCTTTATAGGCCCATGGTCACGGCTAACCATGATCGCGGTCCGAAAAAAATTGTTTCATGTCCTATGTCTACTAATAACTATATTCATTCAGTCATAGTATGACTTCAATTTGATTATTATGTCTCCAGAAAGCTCCCTGGTACTATAAAAACCATGTTTAAGACTTCTTTTCTGGCTAGTGAACGATTCAGGCGAAACTTATTAATTTTTTTTAGTCTAATGTTTGTCGGCACTTATTGTGTCATTAATGACGTTTTAAGGGTAATTCATTTACTAAATTCGTATTTTACTAGGTAGTACTATTGCTTACTTTAACGGCATGTGTATTAACGGACGAGCACGCTCGCTCCGAGCAGCGTGTGGTCCGGCACTTTGGGCCTGAGCACCAAGGACACCACGGCGAACTCGCGCACATTGGTGAGAATGGCCCGGAACATCATGATAAATACGTGAGTAGAAAAAGAAAATTAGACTTACCTCTCTTCTTATTTAAGACTTTTTTTTACTTAGACTGTTGTCGGTGAAGTAATCACCATCTGTGTTCGACGCCCTAATTTTGAGTTCCTGATTCGACACGATATCTAACTCTAATTAGAACTATTTAAAAAGAGTAAGTCACGAAAAAGCCTCTCTTTGAGAACTACCTCGAAAATATTACTTAGAAAAGCTAAGGTACACAAGATATATAACTTATTGTATCTTTAATAGTTTAATTATCGTGAGCCCTTGTTTATTAATGTAGACAATTGTTGATATTGTAAGTTTCAAGCCTTTATGAAAGCCTTTATTCCATAGCTAAGCACACACAAACATCGCCAAGTGAGATTGGAAGTGTGATTCTATCTTAAACTTTGCGTGAAAACAGTTGAAATATAGTGAGTGGCTTAATTTACGCTAATAGATATCTATTAGTAACAGTAGGTACAATTCCGTAGAAGACACTCAGAGTCGTTCCCCTTTAAATTAGCAATTATAATCTAACATCTCTTTACCTATTCATGGTCTCTTATATTATTTCTAAAATCTCGCTTCTATATTTCAGGCATCGTCATTCCCATCGTATGAATTCGCATACAAAGTGAACGACCCGCACACGAAGGACTACAAGGGACACATTGAAAAGAGACATGGAGACGAAGTTGTGGGCGAGTACTGGCTGCGACAGCCTGATGGTCTCAAGCGCATCGTCAAATATCGCGTCGATAAGAAAAATGGGTACTGAGCACATTTTCCATTCAAAAAAGTTATCCACTGTCCAGCCTTTCGAACGAATAGTTAGTTTACCACGGAAGCTTTACTAGGAAGCGTTATCTTATATGATTCGTTTTTGTCCATTACTCCTCCATTGTTCTGTCCTATCTCTCTACTCCTAAAGTTGCCTTTATTTTAAATTCTGTATTAATTTACTCGCTGTTTATTTATTATACGTCTATACCAATGACTCGGCTGTCTGAAATTAATTTGCTGAATGAGAAACTCAATCTTGATTGTATTATTTCAGTTTTCAAGCTCATGTACGTTACGAACCATATCACGACGGTCATCATAGCCCAGCCCCCAAGCCTGTCGTTGAACAAGTTGAAGAACCCAAACCAGAAAAATCTAGGCCACGGCATGACGAACGTAAGAAAAATGTGGTAGAAGTTCGCCATCATGTTCACCATCCGCCGCCGAAGCACCAGCATGATGAAGAACATAAACCTGTCCACCATAAAAAACCAATTCACCATGTTCATGTGGAACATAAAATTGTTCATCATAAGCATAAGGAACATGAACCTCCTCAAGTTGAAGAAAATAAACCCGAAAAATCTGAACCAGAAGAACATAAACCAGAAGAAAGTAGACCAAGACACGATGAACACAAAAGCGTGATAGAAAACCGCCAGCGCACTTACCGTCTGCCGTTAAAGTCCCAGCGCGAAAAACCAATTCCACGTATTCCAATGCAACATAAACCTGTTCATCATGATAGGGTACATGAGCCTGATCATGTTAAAGAACGTGAACCAGAAGAAGAAAATGACGAAGAAAGAGAAGACGTCCATCACGATGATCAGTACACAAATAGGCATCATAATGACGACAATTTGCCACTGTTTAAATTGGACCCTGCGCGTCATTATCTTGAGAATTATCATGCCAAGCCTCATCATCATGCACATCAAGACAACAGGCCTCATCATCGTGTACACCAAGATGACAGGCCTCGTCATCGTGTGCACCATCATGACAGGCCACATCATCGTGTGCACCAACATGACAGGCCTGATCATTTGGAGCAATGGCAGCAATATGTTGTACACAAAGCTGGACGTATTACCGATTTATGGAAAAACGAAGCTCGTCGCCGAGAAGACGAACACCATAAATTGCCCCACGTGCCTCTGTACCGGCATTACGAACCCTACTATGGCCACCACCAACGCTACTACAGGAGCAACGGGAAGTCCAAGAAGAACGAATAGGCTATTTGCCATCTGCAATACTTATTTTTGGAACGTATAGAAGCAAAACTATTTGGCGACCAAAGTGTGATCCAAAATTTTACAACTGCACTTTAGTACTTGTTGTAGTGTAATTAAACTTGAACCAGACAAATTTTAAATCAATTTTATTTTACTTTATTTATTTTACATGGCAATTTATTTATTTCCTTCACCCTTTTTATAATTACACTAACGCATTATTGACATACAAACGAATGAACAATAATTATAATATCTCCCCATAATGTTTAAGGTTTTGTATTAAACAATATATCAAATGGAAGTAGGAAAATAAATAAATTACATGTTAGTTTTATTAATTATTGTCGATGCACTCAGCGGTATAATTTACTCAGCACTTTCAAAATTTCTGAAAAAAGTAGTCACAAATTTGAAAGAGAGAAAGAATCTAAAAATCTACTGAGTAAACACATAATATAGAATTACATTGCGACTCAGTGTGTCTAATGGACCAATACATGGCTCATAAAAGCATTATGTAAACAATCAATAGACAAAATGGTTTCATTTCCTTTGTGTAACAATCGCGAAAACCTAAGAATTCGATAAACATTAACATGTAACTGCCTCAGTGGCCGAACGGTTACCATGCCGGACTGCCACGCAAACGTCTCAGGTTCGATTCCCAGGCCGGGAAAAATATTTGTATAGATTTTGTTTGTTTACATTTGTTTCTCTCGTGAGTTTGGGTGTAATTTGTGGTTGTCTATATGTGCGTCCATGACACGTGCGACACAGGGTTTCCCTAGTGCAGGGCTATGTTGAGTGTGTGCATTATTATTGTTATTATTTGTTTAATGCGAACAAAGTATTAATTGTACTGATTTCTTTTTTCCCTTTTGCTATATACTTGGATTTCCTTTTCTATTAAGTTTGTACCAGTAAATGTAACCAAAAAAGTATCCTTAGTCGGGAAAGTTATAGGGTCATGACGACAGATATAATCTAGTTTCATAAGTTTGCGATTGAGTATGTCAAAGCACGTTACAGAACCATCAGCATAAAGAAAACAAATAATTTTATTAAAAAACTCAAAAGTAAATATATAATTAAATTAAAAATTAATTCATGTAAAAAACTGTAATAATAAAAACCCGCCATTTCTAGTAGTAAAATTTTTTGTACTTCGGGACTAGATAAGGCGTCTAATTGACCATACCGCCAGATCTTAAATTGTAATTTTCTGAGGCAAATCGTTATATCGTTATATTTTTTCCTAATCTACCTTGTTTTTAATACTGTTTATTCGCCGCCATTTCTTTTTCTAACATTTTCAAGTAATAGTACATTTTTTGTTTATCGGGACAGACTAAGGTGTCTAATAAGCTGTATAGCTTCTGGCAGTATTGGCAGATCTTAGATTAGAATTTTCCTTGAATTATTGAATTTTCCGACATTTGTTCGTGGGAAATCGTTGTCTTCAAAAATTGTATATTATCGCCACAGACTAGCTAGACTAGATATCATCAAAGACTAATACATAGATATCGTTAATTATCGCACACAGAATCAATTTAAGACAAAAAACGCCATTTTGGAGTCTGACATTTTAAAAATTTTTGATATTTTGTCTTACTTTTATAATTACTTTCTATGGAGATAAACAGTGCTTAATTATATTGAAAGCGATCTCTAGATTTCAATTTATCAAAAAAAAATATCATCATTAATATGTCATACGACTGTCATAGTTTAACATAGGTTCACGAAGAGGATTTTTGTTATTAAAAAAAAATGTGCGCATTTGACCTCCTTTTCATTTGATGGAACAATGACTATTCACTATCGCCTTGAAAAGGCCCAAGTTATACCGTTCTGGCAACAAACCTAAAGGCAGGGAATTTCACTCCATAGCCAATCGCCATACAAAAGTGGAAGCGAAACGCTTCGAGTGAATCCTTGAAATATCCACAAGCGTGTGACGCCCTGTATACATTTATTACAAACAAAGTACTTAGGCTGAGATTCATAAAATTACTAAGCAAAAATGGCGAGCTAAAATAATTTTTCGTATTTAAAAAACAAAAATTACTTAAGTTTAAATAAGCAAGAAATTACGAAGTAAACTCGAAGTTCGATTTCCTTTCTTGTTTTAACTTAGGCAAAGTTCTTTTTATAAATACGAAAAACAAATAGCTAATGCAGAAATATAACTCTTTGTTAGAACAAGCTTGCCACGAAGTACAACTCGAGATATGAAGTACTAGACTGAAATTATGTTGCACTGAAAAATTTTCCTCATATCAGTTAAGTACGACAGCCGGTTAGACGATTTATTTGACCCGTCGTATAATATTGGGCTGGCCAAAGCATCCGTACGGTATAAATTAAAAACATATAAAAAAATAAATATCATATTGGCATATCATATTTTATCATCTTTGGGTAATTTTCGAATTCCCCTTTCATATAAGTTTCTTATTTACTTATAATACTGAGTGTAGTTTGATACATTGGATTGGATTGGAATCTCTTCGTTATCAAAATCGTGTCCATTCAAAGAATTTTGTAAAGACCAAAACAAGCGAAAATCGTTCGGGTTAGGCGAATACGGTGTATAAGGTAACAACATCCAAACCTAACTGCAATAGTTTTTGTAAATATGTGTATGGTTTGGCATTATCAGGATGAAAAAGGACACCTTTACTATTCACCAGTTCTGGGCGTTTTTCATGAATTGTAAACTTAAAAGTTTCCCGCGTATTCTTGAAATTAATGCTAAAATATAACACCATAGACGAATTAATATTTTAGAAGAAAAAAAAAATAATGGGGCAAAATACCGCATACCATACGGCAGTTACCAATAACAAAAAATGGCGGTTTTTGTAATTGAGATTGAGAAGACGAATAAATTAAATAAATTTTTAGTTACGAATAAATAAAAATGAAAGACTTAAGTAAGTACGTATAACGTTTTAAGTTTCTTAATTATTTGTCAGAATTTTAAGCTGATGGCTCCGTAGCTAATGCTCGATAAATCAATAAAATTGGCGGTTACGATTTTAAAGAAAATTGTTTTCATTTATATAATCATTAAATTGAACAATCAGTGTGTTTCCGCGCACGCGATCCGGCGGATAAAGGAATAGCTAAAAAAAAATGCTATCCTCTACATACCGAATCTATATACTTAAAGTATCACATCGATAACTTTAGTTTGTTGTAAAAAGGTTCACAAGACAACATCATGCAGCGGGTAAGATAAAATTATTGCTCAACTGTTAAATTGTTGTATAAAATTATACCTTTCATAAAAAAAAAACAACTTCAAAAGTTTGTGGAATTATATTTATTTGCCAAGTTTTATTCAGAACGGTTAATGGAAAGTGGCTGAAATTCAATAAACTATTTATCGCCTAATTTGCTACCCTTAGAGGTGGAATATTTTCTTTAAATTTAAATGGGGCCAATACTAAGGTAACCTCCTCCAACACAAAAGAATCATCAAAATTGGTTCACAAATTCAAATTCGCACACTTTTCGGTAACCGATTTTAATAAAACTTGGCAAATAGATGTAATTCCAGAAACTTGTGTGGTCTGTTTTTTTAGTACTCCGTATACTGAGATTATATAAAGTATGTATTAAAAACAACGAATATATTGCATATTCAATACTTTATTGCATACCATAGTAATATCATATAACAGGTGGCAAGTAACTTAAATTAAAATCATTACGACCCCGTACAGGCAGAGCAATAAACAAAATCCGAATAATTTAATATTATTGTCTTACCTTAAAGTTCAAGATTAATACAGGCACATATTGTTCGTTGCGTTTTTCAAATAAAAATATAACGTAATATTTATTTATAATACTTATTCTTTTATAATAGTATACTGTATTACATATAATTATCTATTTATGTATTACATATTTATATAATCAATTGGACATATTGCTTTCAGTATTCATGCAGTGTTAACTGCCCTGGGAACAAAAAAGTCACAACCGCTGTGTAAGGTTCGCATAGTTATGTCTTTTTTTGTTACGAGGGCAGTATAGTAAATTTTAGCTATTTTTGTCATTGACGCTTCTTATTTATTTATTTATTTATTTATTGCATATTACTTGCCACCTGTTATATGATATTACTATGGTATGCAATAAAGTACTGAATATGCAATATATTCGTTGTTTTTAATACATACTTTATATAATCTCAGTATACGGAGTACTAAAAAAACTGACCACACAAGTTTCTGGAATTACATCTATTTGCCAAGTTTTATATATTGCTTCACTCATTTTTATTTTTGGTAATTTGTTATAAATTTTATTGCATATATAGTTTGACCAAACTCAAATAAAATATTTTATGGTTTCCATTGTCCTTTACTTTAAGAAATATCACTTGTTTTGAATCAGTGGCTAGTTCTAGCGACTATCGTAGCTGTGTGTTGTGCGGAGGCGGATAAACCCGAAGGGAATGTCCCGGAGCCAATCGCTGAAGAGTCCCGCCAATACGAGGATGAAAACGAGCAACCTGGTCCCCAAGTCATCAGGGAACTCGACCATAACAAAATGCACCACGTATGTACTACCATACACCGAATTAAAAGAATACAAACTGCATTTATGGTAGTTCTTGATGCGGCGTGTATAAATATTGCCTGATAAGGCAATACACACTCTATCAGATTACTCAAATTGGATATACAACATTCAAATAAGTAACTGACATTTTTAACGAGGCATGTATATAGCCTGTTTCGTGTTTGTATATTGCCCTCCACAAATTGCTTGTTGCATGATACGTATGTTGCGTTTTTCTTCCGTCCGTTCCTTTGACCTGCTTATTGAAAAGTGAAAATCTAGGCACGTGAGCGTGACTCAACATGACTCATACAGTTACCGATCAAAAGAACAGAAATCAATAGAAAATGCAACGCGATTCAGTCGTGATGCAGTAGCAATGCAGTTTCTAATTGTCTACCTTTACACACACGCGCGACTTAAGCAGCGATACAATCGCAATGCATAATTTTATTTATAATGTAAAGATTTATTGGATCGCGACACTAGCGTTAGTGCCGCGATCCAATGAAACGCGTTTATATCGCTGTTGAAAGTCGCGGTGTGTAACCGCTCTATGAAATTATTTTTTCACCTCACTAGCTCGGAAAGGCTTTCTTACTCATTAGAAATCTGCGCGCAAAATCTTTTTTTTTTCACGCTAGCGTGGAGAAGGTTTTTCAGGTTCGAACTTGATAATGGACTGTGGTGCAACTGTTGTCTTGTGTCTTGAAACAGTCGCTATGCTCATATATGATTGAGAATGATGTAGGTAGTTAGCTCTTGCGGTCGTTTTTGCCCTAGTTGAACTAAACACACGGCAAAAAAATGTACTCTTGTAGTGTGTTTTTATTTCTCAGACCGTACTGCTGAGAAGTGGAACTCTTTGCTATATTTTTAATTTGTCGAACCATACAACAGGCTAAAATAAATTACACTACAATTTTTAATGTTATCTTTTCACTTTTTTATTGTTTTCAGCTAACCCGTGAACGCATCGAAGCACAAAACAGGTAAGCTCAACTCTATTCTCCAAGTAATTATGTTTTTATAGTTCATTATAATACTCATTAGGTTATAAAGTGAAAATAATTGAAATAATAATATCGTAAAAAGTTTTTGTACTTAAAAATAAAGTAAATGGGATATGAATGGTTTAATCCAATCCGACTTTCCAACTATCCTGTTAGACGCATTTTTTTCTAACAGTACATCCAAAATACTTCTAATTGTCAGTACTTCCTTAGGTCCCGATAAGAATATTTTTCCTTTTTCGCAGAATAATCAGAAACGTGTACTCCCCCGATTATGCTCAGCCCACAGTGGTGCTCGATTACCGCTACCTCAAAACAGGTGGCCGCGATTACACCCGCAGCGATGGCGGTCAGATCCTTATTTTGCCAAGAGGCGTCCGAAGCCCTGACAAACATAAGGAGTTTGCGAATTTCGACGAACTTCTAGAGTTCCTACGGCTCAAGAACCTAGCAGAAAATGAACACCAACCTCGCCGGGCACAAGAAGCAAATCCGTGGAACGAATATTAAATTAAAAACTCGGAATTAGTTTTTACAATAG